TAGAAAAATACTCGACATACGAAAGCAACATTCAATATATCCACAGCGAGCGCCCCCCCCCCCCCCCCCCCCCCCCCCCCCCCGAGTGTCGAATAATTATCTGCCACAGCTCTGATGCCAACACTTGATCACAAATCCCCAACACCTCAAATCACTGTATTGGTTCTGTCTGGGGGGGGGGGCGGGGGCAGGAAAGTGCACCCGGACCCCCCCTTCCTACCCCCACCGACATGTACCGCAATCAGTCCCCCTCCTCTAAGATGGCAACATCACAACACCGCCACGCTTCGTCCTACTGCTCCACCCCCTGCTCACATGCTACATCTTGGCTGGTTGCGGAGATGTAATTTATCTCTCTTCTTCCCTCCACGTTCGAATAAAGATGAGTTTGAATGCAACAACATGCGAGTTTTTGTACCAGTCGTATCTAGCCCAGTATTCTTCACTGACTTTCAGAGGGGAAGGGGGGAGGGTGCACTTACGCAGATAAGACATCACCAGTGTGAGGGCCGCCACACGTTTGAAACCATTGGGGTTTGACAGCAGCACAATGATGAGGCATTTTCACATTCGTGTTGTCGGGGGCCGCACGAAAGGTCACCAGGGGGCCGCCAGGGGCCCGCGAGCCTTGCAATGAAGAACGCTGACATAGCCGTTTGTTTTGGGACTCCTCGGTTTTGTACAACATTGCTTGTGGAGTTGTCCTGTCGGTAATCTTCACCAAAAAGCATTAAAGACAGTGAAATTGACAAAGATTCCGAACTACGATGTGACATTGGCCTACTTGAACGCACTCGTCATAAAAGTCCCTCCGCCTACAAAGCGTTTTGTAAAAGCTCGCGATACATTTCTTGCGTTAACGACACTCAATGGCAACGATTGAAAGTTATTCTCATCCGCCATATGCGTTTCATCATTGTAATGGGAAACAATCGGAGGTTGTACACATTGCGTTGTCTCTGCATCACCTTTTCACCTTTCACAGCCACCAGCGCAGCGCCAGGTGTCCCAGTTGTGCTTCAATGGCAGCAACAACAACAATGTGCAGCACATTGACTCAAACAGCTTAAGAGACAATTTTATCAACTTGCAGCTTATCTTATCGGTCAGGTTTACCTCTGGTACCTCAGGGTCAAGCGATGGTGCCAATCGCTCACAGTTAGCCATTTACGAAAGGCCGATAGGATCGGAATTAATTTCGTGGCCTTTTATTGCCTTGCGGCCCCAACTGGACTCCCGTCTTCCCCGCAGGGACGGGTGACCCAACTCCACACCCTCCTCCGTTCCGAGTGTCCTCTCCGTTTAATTAATCCTGATGTCTACTTAAAACCCCAAAGCAATTAATTGTTCCAACAAGGACAGCTGTCCAAATCTCTGTAATTTACCAGAAAAGGTAGGGTCTACGTTCTGTAAGTGCCGCAGTTGGAAATGGCCAAACCACTATTATTTTACTAGGCAAGGCCCACTGAGCTACCTAGCTCTTTTTCATAAGTGACCTGGCCACAATTGATAGCTCACTAAAGTGGCTCATCTTGTGGAAGAGTATAGCAGCCATGTACTCTAAACGCATGTTTCTAAATGTGGAGGGAGAAAGCGGAGGACCCGAAGAAAAATCTGCGCTATTACAGGGAAAACATGCCAACTCCAAAAAAACAGGCCATCAGGGTCGGGATCGAACCCATGACCCCCCTATATACCAGGTGAGGTAGTTAACATTTTTCTGCCGGTGGCACCCCTTGCTCCCCCCCATCCACCCCTGCAGGTCTCTCCAAATGCCAGGTTGATCAAGATTGAGACGAATGGAGCGGATCCTGTTGGTTGCAAGTCTCCTAAACTAAAATCGGTGGCTTTGTGGGCTTGCATCAATCCCTGTGCACCAAATGAATGTGTCACTGAATTTAGAGAGCAAAAAAGATGAAACTCTAAAAAGATTTCCAGATAACTCAACATTTAAAGAAACCCTAAGCGAGAATTTCAAGGAAAATTTAGCAAATATTTACACGGGAAGAATGTATGTTGAAACACATCGCGAAAATCTTTTCCAACTTGGTAAAAGATTCTCATTAACTTTCAACGTAAATTTCGAATCTTTTACAAAGTTGTGATGGACCGACACAATGAAGCTGTGATAGTACTGTAAGTATCAAGCTTACATCATTTGCCAGATCGCAAACTGAAACACTACTTTTTCAAATAACATTGTAATACTTTAGCAGATACTTTGACTTACGACATGTTTACAGCTGCGTCACAGCATATGTGCAACTGTGACATGCAACTCAGGATACGTCGATGCATTTTAATGCATACTTAACAGCGCAACCGATGTATTGCAAAATTGACCAATCAATCAATGAAGCAGTGATCATTTACAACCCATAATTTAAACTTTGCACAAGTGTGATATTAGCCGTGCACATTTTCCACAGAAAATACAAATCGCTTATAAAACAGAGATTTTTAACCCTAGTGTCTTTCCTGTTGTATAGTCCTTAAAGAGTAAAAGGGCACGTTTGAAGATGCAGAGATTAAGGTGGCTGCATGGTGTATAGCCTCTTTGATTTAACACAATCTTGTGGCGTTATCAGATTGCTAAGACATATTTCATCGTACTTCATCATAGGATAAGATTAAACACCATAAACAAGGAAAGTGTTTTTTTACTGGCCAATATTTTGAGGCCCTTTAAACCGTCAATACCTGCTTCTTTCCCATTGCGTCCTATATTCGTTGTTGATAACCATCTCTGCTGCACAAACCCTTTATTATGGGTTTTTTTGACACAAATTGAAAAAGTGGTATCCAAAAAAATAACTATTGGTTTTATAGGATTTATCAGCCTCACGGCTAGAAAACATTTACGGTCATATCACACAAAGATATCGCGATCAAAAAGGTTAAAGGTTGGACATTTTACCCACATCTTCAGGAAGCTCCGGAATGATAACACATCTTCAGCATGGTTAAACCAGATATGTTTCTCTCAGATATAACTTGTCACCTTTCCAACAGATAAAGTCCAAGTCAGTCATAAAGACTGTCAACATCACTTTTCCCTATTCTTAGTATAGAGAAACGGAGCATGCGGACAAAGCAATGCATTATTAAACTATATATATAAAAAAAACTAATTATACGTGACAAATGTCTATGGTATAAAAGCAGATGACATAAAACAAAAATGATTATAGGATGTACAAAAACTAGAACATATTTTAAAAATATATTCGAGGCGTATTGATAGGGGTTGTTCAAAAAGCAAATGCCTTAGCGACGTGCTATACCACGTATGGATGGAATCTCTTTCTTGAGCCCACAGAGCAACATTCGAGGGTAAACTATGGTACATGTGCATCCATTTTACCAACTTATGTGGTTATAGCTGCCGCAGAGCATTACACTACTTTCACAGCTATTTTACCCAACACATTTGAGTAAATTACGACGGAATAACAAAGGGAGAGCAGGGAAAACAACAGCATTAATTCTTAATGCGGAAAGGACACACTTCTGGTCTCTGATCAGGAACAGCATGTCCTTTCACTGCACCTTATACCAGGCTCCAAGCTGCGGTCATCTGTCCAAGTGTAAGGGCGAGTTGGACGAATGCCCCTGCCATATCTGTCTGCCCATGAGGACATATCTAAGGACGATTCCTTTTTAGAGATCCACAATGCGTGGCTGGAATCATGTGCCTATTGTTAACCAATACAAACCCCGAGCTGAGAACGTGCCGCAAGAGCTGTCTGCTCGATTTTACCGAATGTATCATTCTGTTAATGTTTGATGCAATTACCGAAATAAAAACTTGTGGGTGAAAAAAAAACAGAGCGACAAACACAGACATTAGTAGAATGTTGAGTATGCTTTATTTCAGCATCAATGGCTTGGATAGAAATCCAAATGGAAATAATAAAATGTGAAAATCTCAGCAAGACACAATAACAAACACTTCCAAAGTAAACACAAGCTACGCGGATTAAATAATACAAGTGTTGGGTGATATTAAACAACTGTGAGATTGCTGCTATTAGACAGAAATTATGGATATTTTATTACATTTAGGTGCCTGCTTTATATGATCCCCCCCCCCCCCACCGTGAATGTTTCCCATCATACCACGATAGATCAGCATTTTGGAGTTGGGCCTTTGATGACAGAATAAATCACCGTGCTCTTCTGTATACAGTGGGATCATCAATACATAAATCAGTCCTCCTACAAGAGGAAGTAAAAAAACTGCCGGGATTTCTTCGGGATTTGGAGATGCCACACATCACACACCTCTCAGCAATGAAAATTAAACCGACAGAAGGCTCAAACTCCTTGTAAGATTACACAACAGCTGATAAATTATTCAAGTCCCACTTGTCCACACTTTGCTGCACAATGCTGCACACAGCTCCCTAAAGGTGTTTGCAGTCCGAGGCAATGGCCTTTCGATGTTATATTTTACATTGCCCATGTCAACAGGCAGGTAATCGGTCACAGCTTTCCCACGTCTGATGAGGTCCCGTCATCCACACCACCCTCAGCTGGCGGCAGTTCTGCCTTGGTCTCTAGCTCTGAGCCATCTCCGGGAACAAGCTCAGTCTCTTCCGGATATTCTGCAGCTAAACTCGGCCACTGCGATGCACCGGTCACTAGACCCATCATCATTTCACCTAGAGACCCGGGGCTTGGCCTGCCTAGGCCCGAGTCGAATTGACTGCCGTGTAGAGGCTGCTGGGCGGCGGTGTCGCTGTGGAGCATGGCAGCCGGGTTCGCCGCTGTCATTGCTTCATCCGGATCGAGGCCGTCGGGGCACGGCAGCTTCATGAGCACCTCCCGGAGCTGTGCGGTGTGTCGCTGCACGCCAGAACGGACAGAATACCGCGTCTCACTTGGTGCACCGCGACTGTGGTTGATTTTAGCCTGAAGTTAGTTTACTGAACATGAAATATGCGATGACATTTTTTTAAATGGAACGAAATAATCTCAACCGTTTTCTTTTAATGCAGGATATCAAGTGATACACAATTACGTGCAACTCCTACGAGGCTTTTTGGAGAACATCTGCTACAGCACCAGCCACTGCTGGATGAAGGCCTCTCCAAACTGCCACCATCTCTCACGGTATTGAGAAGCAACACTTTACCCAACACCTTCAAGACAAGGTCTTTTGCCGAGATAAAAACTTGATTTTCTAGCCCATGCCCCCATCCACTGGTCGCTTAGTGTTAACTATGAGCATATGCCACAAGGGATCGTAACATCCTCATTCCATGAACCCAAGAGAAACCAATGTGGAAAATATGGGAGGGGGGGCGGTGAGAAAGAAGACTGACACCTAAACAAAGCAGTGGATACGACTCAACATGTACCTGTAAATAAACAGAAGAGGAGGTATGAGAACAGAACCAACACATCCAACTTACCTGAGCAAAGGGATGAACCCAGACACAACTTCCCCAGTGATTAGAGTAGTTTAATGTAGGGATGTATGGGAGGGAGACCAGTGGACAGGTAGTATGACCTCAAAAAACAAGATTTTACCCAGGCTCAAAAACCTCATTTTATCTTCGTCTATGCTGCTGGACACTATTAGCAATCATACCAAAGGTCGTAACTGGCGGAGGGACAGGTCACTCCTCGAATGACAGAAGACAGAACTGTTCTCCCAAAGGGAGCATCCTGCAAAGTCAAGATGTCCAAGCCTGTAGTTTCTGGAACATGTATGCGGTGACCTCCAATGACACGTTGAATGTCCTGGCCCATGATACCCCCACTGCTCTTGTGGAATGAGCCCTTAACACATCAGGTGAATCCTTTCTGGCGAGAGTGTAGCAGTGTCTAATGCACTCCTTTGGCCATCCAGAAATTCAGACGTTTCAGGCCACATTTCATCTGACAGCGTTCCTATACAGGACAAACAGCCACTGTGATCCTCACCAAACCAGCACCTGTTCTGAAAATCCCAGGTAAGTGAACCTTACCCTTTGAACGTCCATGCAGTCAAAGGGAAACGCCTGACGTCTGGGAAACACCCTCTGCCCCACCACAGTAGGTCCCTCTCAACTGGGAGGGTCAGTGAGTGGCCTATTATAAACTGCAGGAGATCTGAATACCAATGTTAACCCGGTCCAATGCGAGGAAAACAAGTGTTGTCCGGCCCAATGAAAGGCAAGCAACATAACTAATGCCCTGCCCTCATCCTGACCACCACTCGTGTTGCCGCAGCAAGTGAGATATGATTTCTGGCAAACCCGGATAGGAAAATTATGTAAGGCCATATGCACTGCTCCGAGTTACTGGAGAATGAGGCTCCCTTCAGTGTGCGGTAGCCATTTGCCCTGCACTAGAATACCCTGCAGGTGAGCTACCCACTCCCATGCGCTCGCATCACTCCAGAGGATGAGGTCTGGTGGAGGGCCTCCCAATGGTCGACGATTCTTCAGATTTTTTCATGCTGTCCACCAAGGGAGGCTCTCAACCGACTGTTCGGTCAATATGACCCACTAATTGAATGTCGTGAATAGGGTCCCAATAGAACAGCAGAACCCACTGAAGCAGCCTCATATAAAGGCCCGACCAGGGCAACAATTATGTTGTTGAGGCCACAGGTCTGAGTTGCAGATCTTTGGAGTGCTGGCTGAGGAGCGCCTTTTTGTCTGGCAGACACATTTGGCACTCATCCACCGAGATGTCGACTCTGAGGTGGTAAGGTCGTTGGGTTGGATACAGTGAGGGAAAAAAGTATTTGATCCCCTGCTGATTTTGTACGTTTGCCCACTGACAAATACATGATCAGTCTATAATTTTAATGCTAGGTTTATTTGAACAGTGAGAGACAAAATAACAAGAAAATCCAGAAAAACGCATGTCAAAAATGTTATAAATGGATTTGCATTTTAATGAGGTAAATAAGTATTTGACCCCTCTCAATCAGAAAGATTTCTTGCTCCCAGGTGTCTTTTATACAGGTAACGAGCTGAGATTAGGAGCACACTCTTAAAGGGAGTGCTCATAAACTCAGCTTGTTACCAGTATAAAAGACACCTGTCCACAGAAGCAATCAATCAATCAGATTCCAAACTCTCCACCATGGCCAAGACCAAAGAGCTTTCCAAGGATGTCAGGGACAAGATTGTAGACCTACACAAGGCTGGAATGGGCTACAAGACCATTGCCAAGCAGCTTGGTGAGAAGGTGACAACAGTTGGTGCGATTATTCGCAAATGGAAGAAACACAAAAGAACTGTCAATCTCCCTCGGCCTGGGGCTCCATGCAAGATCTCACCTCGTGGAGTTGCAATGATCATGAGAACGGTGAGGAAGCAGCCCAGAACTACACGGGAGGATCTTGTCAATGATTTCAAGACAGCTGGGACCATAGTCACCAAGAAAACAATTAGTAACACACTACGCCGTGAAGGACTGAAATCCTGCAGCGCCCGCAAGGTCCCCCTGCTCAAGAAAGCACATAAACATGCCCGTCTGAAGTTTGCCAATGAACATCTGAATGATTCAGGGGACAAATGGGTAAAAGTGTTGTGGTCAGATAAGACCAAAATGGAGCTCTTTGGCATCAACTCAACTCGCCGTGTTTGGAGGAGGAGGAATGCTGCCTATGACCCCAAGAACACCATCCCCACCGTCAAACATGGAGGTGGAAACATTATGCTTTGGGGGTGTTTTTCTGCTAAGGGCACAGGACAACTTCACCGCATCAAAGGGACGATGGATGGGGCCATGTACCGTCAAATCTTGGGTGAGAACCTCCTTCCCTCAGCCAGGGCATTGAAAATGGGTCGTGGATGGGTATTCCAGCATGACAATGACCCAAAACACACGGCCAAGGCAACAAAGGAGTGGCTCAAGAAGAAGCACATTAAGGTCCTGGAGTGGCCTAGCCAGTCTCCAGACCTTAATCCCATAGAAAATCTGTGGAGGGAGCTGAAGGTTCGAGTTGCCAAACGTCAGCCTCGAAACCTTAATGACTTGGAGAAGATCTGCAAAGAGGAGTGGGACAAAATCCCTCCTGAGATGTGTGGAAACCTGGTGGCCAACGACAAGAAACGTCTGACCTCTGTGATTGCCAACAAGGGTTTTGCCACCAAGTACTAAGTCATGTTTTACAGAGGGGTCAAATACTTATTTCCCTCATTAAAATGCAAATCAATTTATAACATTTTGACATGCATTTTTCTGGAATTGTGTTGTTATTCTGTCTCTCACTGTTCAAATAAACCTACCATTAAAATTATAAACTGATCATTTCTTTGTTAGTGGGCAAACGTACAAAATCAGCAGGGGATTAAGGTCTCGAGACTGGCTAGGCCACTCCAGGACCTTAATGTGCTTCTTCTTGAGCCACTCCTTTGTTGCATTGGCCGTGTGTTTTGGGTCATTGCCATGCTGGAATACCCATCCACGACCCATTTTCAATGCCCTGGCTGAGGGAAGGAGGTTCTCACCAAAGATTTGACGGTACATGGCCCCGTCCATCGTCCCTTTGATGCGGTGAAGTTGTCCTGTCCCCTTAGCAGAAAAACACCCCTAAAGCATGTTTCCACCTCCATGTTTGACGGTGGGGATGGTGTTCTTGGGGTCATAGGCAGCATTCCTCCTCCTCCAAACACGGCGAGTTGAGTTGATGCCAAAGAGCTCCATTTTGGTCTCATCTGACCACAACACTTTCACCCAGTTGTCCTCTGAATCATTCAGATGTTCATTGGCAAACTTCAGACGGGCATGTATATGTGCTTTCTTGAGCAGGGGGACCTTGCGGGCGCTGCAGGATTTCAGTCCTTCACGGCGTAGTGTTACCAATTGTTTTCTTGGTGACTATGGTCCCAGCTGCCTTGAGATCATTGACAAGATCCCCCCGTGTAGTTCTGGGCTGATTCCTCACAGTTCTCATGATCATTGCAACTCCACGAGGTGAGATCTTGCATGGAGCCCTAGGCCAAGGGAGATTGACAGTTCTTTTGTGTTTCTTCATTTGCGAATAATCGCACCAACTGTTGTCACCTTCTCACCAAGCTGCTTGGCAATGGACTTGTAGCCCATTCCAGCCTTATGTAGGTCTACAATCTTGTTCCTGACATCCTTGGAGAGCTCTTTGGTCTTGGCCATGGTGGAAAGTTTGGAATCTGATTGATTGATTGATTCTGTGGACAGGTGTCTTTTATACAGGTAACAAGCTGAGATAAGGAGCACTCCCTTTAAGAGTGTGCTCCTAATCTCAGCTCGTTACCTGTATAAAAGACACCTGGGAGCCAGAAATCGTTCTGATTGAGAGGGGGTCAAATACTTATTTACCTCATTAAAATGCAAATCCATTTATAACATTTTTGACATGCGTTTTTCTGGATTTTCTTGTTGTTATTCTGTCTCTCACTGTTCAAATAAACCTAGCATTAAAATTATAGACTGATCATGTATTTGTCAGTGGGCAAACGTACAAAATCAGCAGGGGATCAAATACTTTTTTCCCTCACTGTATAGGAGGCACTTGAGCAGCTGAAAGACAATGTCGGTCTCCCACTTCAACTTGGGCTTGACGCAGCCCTGATAAGAAGGTTGCCAAGTTGGTGATAGATGTGAATTCTCAGTTTTCTGACTGCCGACATGAAGATTACGAGAAGCTTCGTAAAAAATTGGAGCTTACGCCAGACCAAAATGTAAGGTGCAATAATGCTATTACTGTAAGAGGGCATAGCAACTCAAAAAGTGGAAGGGAAACAAGTAGATTAGAACAATGACTTGGGCAAGGTAGGTCAGCTCCTGGAAGTCCAGCTGGTATCTGTTCCACGACTGCTTTTGAAAAGACGGTCAACTTGGTTCCCTTTTGCCAAATCACCTTTCGGCCCCGGACCGTGGCTACTGCTGCCTGTAAGGCAATAGTCATAAGGTCCCTACTGACGTCAATAACGAACTTGACTGCATCCAGGATGCCGAGGTAGACCTGCTAGAACTCGTGGTCCCCCTCCTCGTTGGCTTCAGAGTCTCCACTGACTCCATAATGAATCTGCTATTATATATCACAATATATATTTATACTGCTGTGATACTTGTTATGATAGGTGCTGCATGGTGGACCCTCTTAAATTCCTTGTCCAGGGCCCTGTTCATTGTATTGAGCAAGGCCTGGGGAAATTTCCTCCTGTAATGCAGGGTGTCCTGGTAGCATCTTCGCCATGATTGCAGTGTTCCATATGGCACCGACAAAAAGTTATTGGCATCCGGTTCATCCAGTGCGTATCAAGCCCTTATGTACGTAGAACTTACTTCGCACCGCACGTAGCCAACTATGCTAATTAATTTGAGATTGCACATAGGCCACAAGGCCTTTGCTGGTTTGGCCCACTCCCGTAGGATCTATTTCAGAGACTTCACAAGTCTAGGGGAGGAATTTCTCAACAGCTGATCCCTGGAGAAGAAAGCGCCGGGCTCAGTTATCTGTGGTTGCTCCCATTCCAGGAGTTAGAGCTTGCGTCGGATTCTGCACCTCAGTGAGTGAAGGCCGTCCTGCGGGAGCTCGCCATTTTTTCATCAAACAAGTCCCAATTCAAAAACATTCTAGGTGATGAGTTGTTGGATATTTTTCATCTTGGCTCTCCTCTGCGCAAGCTCCTCATTAACAGCATACCTGCACGAAGGTACACAGCTGGTGCTTGTCCAACTTTATGCAGGGTCCCTGGTATCCACATTCATCCTGGACGATTAACTCATCCTCGGAGGTCGACACATCCGCAGCCAGATTCTTGGGTGTCTGACCTTTTGAGAGAGCTCAAATGTTTTAGTGACCTCCACGGTTGCATCTGCTTCCTGCTACTCATGATGAGGTGGAGCTGCCCTGGTGACGAGGTCTTCATCCTCTGAGAGCTTGTCAGGAGTGCTGGGTAAGTACCTGAACAACCACCTTCTTTCTGCTGCTTTCAGGCAAAGTAACAGCTGGCCGATCATCAGCTGCTCTGCAATTGGTGATGATGTTTTTAAGCACTATAATTTAGTGTAAAGGTGGAGATTGTTGATCACAACATAATGAAGAATAATCATGAAAAAGGACCAAAACACTAAACTTTTTCATCGAAATGCCAGCTTTCCAACAATGTAAGACACCACAAAACACCATTTTTATTCAGGTCTTATGCCTGCCCAATGCCTGTCCAAGGGCTGCATCCAGAGACCCAGATTCTGCACTTGGAAAGCGAGTAGGCTGTTGTCTATTACTCTGGCACTGCATTTCATTACGCAATGCAGAGCACGGCATTTCATTATGCAATGCAGTGTAATGCAGTGCAATGCAGTGTAATGAAGGTGCTCGCAACGCTGCCACAATTAATTTCAGTCAAGGTATTATAAAATTGGTGCTGTGAAAGACAAGCCTACACAAATAACTGATACCACAACTAAATTAATGCATATTTTAAGAGTGCTGTGGAAATAAAGTTACGAAAAATTACGTTCAATTGGTTGCATGTTCAAACGAGCCAATGGCTTGCTCATCTTTTATAGATGACCCTGAGCCAGTGGTGGGAAATTACACATTCACATGGCAGGGGTAAGTCTGTCCACAGGAGAACCACTATTGAGTGTCCACAAAGTCAAACCCATTTTTATTGAGCCCAGGGGTATAATGAGCTTTTTAATTTATCAATAAAAGCAAATTAGATGGTTGTTTATATGATAAGCCAATTGAGGTTCCATGATTTACACCGGTGCGAGCGTACTCTTCATTGATCCACCTTGCAGGCTGGTTTTTTGACGTGGTGTCGCTTGGCGCTC